AATTAAGTCACCAAATTTTCATCCCTGTAGCTTTTGTGGATCTCGAGATGAAAACTCGCTACAGACGCACACACAGACACAGACACACACACGTACATATACACAGACACACACACACACACAACCCCTCGACAATATGCGTTTTTGCATTGCATAGCTGCAAAAAACGTATAAAAAATCGGCCGAAGAAAAACATTAATCGAACTGGTGTCCGGCAAAAAATTCGCAGTGCAACAAACTGTAGCCTCTGCATCTTACTGTGCGGGTCATTTGCTTAAACATAAAACGACTTGAATTTGGAAGTATTGAATAAATCTGCGCTTTGAGTGGATTTTGTGCATCTCTAGCAAATTTTACTTTTCTCACCTGAATTCAACAACCCTCTTAACCGAAATGTGCGCAGCCAGTGCTCAGCTTACTGCATTTATTTCACTCCTTGAAAAGTGATTTTGATACCCTCATAAGAGCAATTAAAGCGGTATTTTATTGTGTAAAGCTTGCCCGCAATCTCACTCAAGTCGCACTCGCAAAGTACGCGCAGTCTCAAAATGGACTCAATAATCGCGGCGATTTGAAATCGGATTCTGCAAGTCTCCAAATTAAGCCGGGAAAGAGGTGTGAAAATTACCCAGTCGCCAAACCTCTTAAGATGTGAAAATTACTCAGCAGTGTGTTAAAATCAAACTAAGGTTGCCAGAGTGGACAGTAGGTTAGCATATTTGGTGCTACTTGATAAGAAGACGAAAGCAGAAAAAAAAAGAAGGGGAGAAAAGCCGAGAGAACAGTATCACTGAAGCTGCGAGGACTTTTTGAATACAAGCCTGAGAATCCGAAAGTTATTGCTAGTATTCTCATGCACACCCTGTCAAGAAATTAAGGTTTCCTGAAAAAAGGTAACCACAAAAACTGTTGCCGACGCACCATGTAATGCTTTATGCGTGCGCTACGCACTTCGTTGGTTTACGGTCGTATTGTCATTCTCGCTGCTTTTTATGCGTTTTTGCTATGCTGTCAACAGCGCTGCTACAGCCAGCAAAAACGCATATTGTCGATAGGGTGTCTGTGTGTGTATGTGTGTGTGCGTGTGTGCGTGCGTGTGTGTGTATGCATGTATGCATTTTTGTGTGTTCACACTTTTTGTCACCCACTTCTAACTTGAGAACCAGAAAAGTTAGGAGGCTGGAACTTTGGGACTATGTGCCCCATGCCAAGCGTGACCCCTCTCCTTTTAATATCATCCTCCGCGGACGTCTGTGTGTCGCGTACGGACGCTTTAAAAACATATGCAAATTTTTCGGCGGGAAAGCAATTTCGGGAACCAGACAAGGTAAACGGCTGAAACTTTGTAGGAGTATTCCCTACGTATGTGATAGCTAAAGATTCCAAGCTTAGCCTACAGATATGCATGGTACTCACGTAAGGGCGTATGAAAGTTCTGGCGGGAAAATTGCTGGCTCGGGAACCAGGAAAACTAGATGGCTGAAATTTTGGGGGAATGTCCCTTGTCCAAGTACAAATTACGTTTTTTAAAACCAGCCCTCAGGCATGCGTGGTTCTTACGTACGAGCACGTGAAAGATTTGGCAGGAGAATTGTTAACTAGGCAACCAGAAAAGCTGGAAGGCTGAAATTTTTAGGGGATGTTCCCTGTCCATGTGCGATTTAAAAATTTCAAACTCAGCTTCCCAGGTACGTGGAGCACCCACGTACGGGCATGTGAAAGTTTTGGCGAGAAAATTGCTAACTCGACAACTAGAAAAGCTAGAAGGCTGAAATTTTGAAGGAATGTCCCCTGTCCAAGTACAACTCAAATATTTCAAACTTAGCCCCTAGCTATGCGTGGTACTCTTGTAAGAGGGTAAGAAAATTTCTGCGGGAAAATTACTAACACGGACCAGAAAAGCTAGAAGGCTGAAATTTTAGGGGGATGTTCCCTGTCCAAGTACAACAGAAGTATTTCAAATTCAGCCTTGAGGTATGCATGGTTCTTACGTACGGGCACTTAAAAGTTCTGGTGGAAAAATTTCTCACTGAGCAGCTAGGTTATTTTTAAAGAACGATCGCTAAATGGGAATTGTACATTTACTTTATGCAAAATTTATGGTGATTTATGCCAGTGACCGCAAAAAGTAGGTTTAAAGCAACAACCATTCATGCATTTCCCGAGTACCTCAAGTCCAGTGCAAAAACACGTGATCGCACGGGCTCACGCGGTGCGTTTCAGCCTGGGTTACTACTTGCGCTGTACCGAAGCGGAGCTACTATCTGCGGCATCCGCTCTGGCTAATTTGTTCATTTTGTTCTGTTATAAGAGCGATGCGGGACTGGGAAAAACTTAATTTTTTTTGCCAGTATCATGTTGATTGTTGTGTATGTAAAGGTTTAATAACCCAAACCTGAGGTGCGCGATTTCGCGAACCGACGGACTGGCTCAAGTAAAGCGGGAACGGGTGAATCGGCGGAGAGAAAGCGAACCACCAATTTGGGTTGCAGTAATCCCGGACCAAGTTTGAGCAGCA